CTGTATGATGTTTTTCAGATGTGTCAGGACATTTTTTCAACATTTGTGGGTACAGCTTTCGTTGCCTGAGGCAGTTGCTGCTAAACTGGTAAAAGATTGCACGATGTGGAAATGCTTGTAGTCACAAGAAGACGGCGTGTTTGTTTGAACTGTCGTGTCAGAACGAAAGCCTATATGGGGAAGGAAAGGGGTGGTAGCAAATGAGAGAATTTTATGGTTTCGACTGTTTGCGTCCATAGCTGAAGACGTCGCATCGTCTAGTCCCTTATAGGCGGGGAAAGGTTAATATGCCTCTTTTTATTCCCTGCCCCCTCACGTCGACTAAGTTGCCCTAGGTCGTGTCACCGCTGTCACCTAACAATGACTTTCGGTCTGAGTGGTTTGCTTTTAAGCATAGCGATCCAGCTCACCTTAGTAAGCTGGTAGCTTTTCCTTCCCACGCCGTGCCATCATGACATTGAAAAGCACAACATATTTCCCACACTGACCTGCCTTTACTCCACCTAGGACAGCTCACCTATATGCTGCATTTTTCGCAGAGTGTCCCTAGCACTGCCATTTTCTGAAGTGGTGCTTTGTCACCGTCTGCAGATTCGACACTTGGCAAGCATCAGCGTTGTTTATTCAGCGCAGACGGCAGCTCTTTTATCGTGTTATACATATTAATATGCGCGATGATTTGAGATCCAGACGTCATATCGTATGCATAATCTCCCGAAGAAGAAGAATAGGGGACAATTTCATGGACCGAAGTATATTTTGACTGACGTTTCAAAAACACAATCGCCTCCATCGTCAGAGTACCCTGCTTACTCCACCGTAGACCTTGAATAAATCTGTATTGCCGCTAGCCTCGTGTTATATCCGAGGCGCAGGGAACAAAGGAGATGCAGACCCGTCATTAGTCGACATCAAAAGCGTCGGAACCAACCAGCGGCCACCGGGCAGGTGAACGCACGTGCAGTGATAACGGGATAATCTATCTGGATTTCGTATCTTCACCCAGTGGTAGTGGCGTGCTTAGCAATCGCCTTTATTGATAAATTTTTCCCGTTATACCTTGAGGCTCAATCTCAAGAGCTTCATTACCACTGTAGATTGCCTCGTCGGCTGAGCACTGAGCTCGTGGCGTAGTAGTTAGAACGTTGGACTTCTAGCTAACAGGCCGAGGGTTCGAGGCTCGTGTGCCGCGTCACCTGGAGTCGGATATGGCTGGCTGCTGACGGCTAATAAATCGGAAATGGACATTCCAGGCCCTCTCCTCTTTCTCAGCAATATATTTCTGCCTACGATATTCTAGCCACTGAGCGGCCGCCTGGCAGAGCTCGAGAGTGAGCCCCAAGGCAAACGGGACGAGCATGACTGATGCAGTTAAGTCCCGAAGGTAGCGAATTTACAGGTTGGCCTCGAAATCAGTCTATTGGTCGGTTTGTGATTTATCTGGGCGGACTTCGCAGGTACACACCGGTTATTTTTGGTGTATACCTAACAAATCTTGCTAAGTCTACTTTTTTTAAGCCTACGGACCTCAGAAAGGCCGTATCTCAGCGTCTTTA